AATCCATTGACTACTGTTGACTTGGAGATGAAAGAGAGAAGAGGAAGGGCTGGTTGGTCCAAAATGTGGTGAGACCTGGGGACACTTGAGCCCATGGACAAGGACATAGCCACAAAGGGCTAGAGCTGAGAGTGAAGCATCCAGCTGATATGAAGTGAGGGGAGATGCACAAGAACACCCAAACTTACAGACACTACCCATTTGATGTAGCCTTGATAATCAGAACTTGACTAGAGGAAGATTACCAAAAAAAAAAAAAATTGTTTTTAAATGTTTTTTGATCAAGGAATCAAGGGTAAATTGCTACAATTTGATGAACTTGACCTATACTTATGGAGGTAGTAACTCTAAATATCAACAGAGAGGGAAAGAGTCTTCACATCAAGTATCAATGCTATTCCTATTCCCTTTGTACACAGGGTAGAAAGGGATGGGCAACTTAGACATTGGCTACCTAAAATGAGGGGGTGATAAAGGCATGAAGTGACTGGTTTACAAGATTTCAAGAGGGAGTCTAGTTTAAGAGTATGGGGGTGAAGAAACAGTCCCCACTGAATAGTTTTCATCTTTTCTAGATGGGTCTGGTGAGAAAGAGATGGGGATAAGATTTGTATGATTCAATAGTGAATAATTGTTATCATGACTAATTGCAACTGTCACAATTGTAAAGGTAGAAGTTTTATAACAGAAACAGGGGAGTGGTTAATCTTACAGTCCAGAAACAGGAACCTAGGACCATAAGGGAGAAGAGCACAAGCAGAATGCGGGACCTTGTCCAGAGAAGCAGCAATGCCACAGACAGAGGCAGAGATGGGGGTCACGGAGAGGGGGGAACAGCTGAGGACTCTAGATTCATGGGAAGAGAGGGACTAAGAGCTGCTGACCAGGAGGCAGACTTGCAGAATGTGCTCTTTGGAGGTGTAAGTTATTATATATGCCTGAGTGTTTTTGTTTAAAAAGCTAAAGTGAATAGAGAGAAATATTGTTAACTGATGGTACATGGAGGGGATTATAATCATTGTAAATGAAACAAGGTGTATGATTTGTTGAATGTAAAACTGATGATCTGCCCTGTAAACTTTCAATCCACAATAAAAACTTTCAAAAAAAAAACAGAACTCAGCCAATGAAAACTCCTTGGATCACTCTAGAGCAGTCTGCAACGCCAGCAGTTTGTTCCCTTGTGCATGGGGCTGCCATGAGTCAAGGGCTAACCAGACGGCAGCTAACAACAACAGCACACACACACAAAGTCTTCCCTAGAGATTCAAATTCAATTACTTTCATATTGGTTTATTTTGATAAATTTCCACAAAACCCTCATGTAACTACCTACCGTTGTACAAATGATCTCAGTGCTTACTGTCACCACAATTCCCTGGTCTTGGTTTCCCCATATACTGAGGAAGTAATGAACCAACTGAATCACTGTATAAGCCCTGCAGAACTGCCCATTTAAGGAGCCCTCGTGTGTGACGCTCTAGGATAAAGCACTGGACTGCTAGGTCGGTTTGAACCACAAGATCAGCAGTTCAAACTCGTCAACCACTCCTCAGAAACCCTATACAGGGCCACTATGAGTCAGAACTGACTCCATGGCACTTAACAACAACAAATGCTAAAATTGTGCTTATATAAATAAAGATTGCCAAGAAATTTACAAGTTGAAGAAAATCTAACAGCCAAATAATTGAATCTTAAGCTACACACACCACACACACATATACATATATACACATATATAAATAAAACAAACTCACAGGCTTTACCATTGAGCCTATAAAGCTGGCAAATAACTGTTGCTTCTGTTTTTTCTTTTTAAGTAAAAGGTAGGTTGTGTGGGACAAAGAAGATACAATTCAATGAAGAAAATCCTATCAAAGACAATTTTCATCATCTCACTATTCTGTAACACTATACTGACATTATATGTACTATATAATAACACAATCTGTAGAATATAAGAAGAAATTTGACATCTAAAGCTTACTGAGCTGTCCATCTGTTTCCTACTGTGTGAGCCCTGTTCACAGTGAATTGGTGCCCCATCTTTGCAAAATCAAAGTACAGACTCAGTCAAAGTTCAGCACTGACGTTTGAAAGTGCCACATGACTGTCTGCCTGGGAGCATAAAAGTGTTTGCTCAGTAAACAGACAGTGGGAAGGCTGGTATAAGTAATCACATATGGCTTTCTATATAGTCACTGACTTCAGGATTTGATATGTTACACACATTTTGACAATCTGAGTCTTTTCTAGCTTATATTAAAATGCACCAGTTTCTCTCATTAGGTAACTGGATACAACTGACACTGACAATGACCAATAATAGGTGGGGTTCAATGAACACTCTGGTAGCGTAGTGGTTACAAATCAGGCTGCTAACCTCAGGGTCAGCAGTTCAAAACTACCAGCTGTTCCATGGGAGAAAGATGAGGTTTTCTGCTCCCGTAAAGATTGCCAGCCTCGGAAACCCTGTACAGGGTCTCTATGAGTCGGAACCGACTCCACGGCACATCACAACAACAAGAACAATGAACACAGGTCTCCACAGAACGATGATCTATAAAGGAAGGCATATTCTTTGAGCTAAAAACCCAAGAGATAATAGTAACGAAAATATTCCCATTTCCATTATGAGAGGAACTTACTCTTTTTCCAGGTTGGCTACAACACCGTGTACATACTCGTTATCTGTCTGAGAAAGAAAAAGAAAAAAAAACAATGTACCCACATTCATGCTTTTGTTGTTGTTGTTGTTTCTATTTTGGTTTTAAATCCTGAACTCAAAATTAAATGAAATTATTAAATCGTTTCTTGAAAGCATTACACTTTCAAACACCTTATAGTATCCATTTCGGAAATATACTACCATATGCATATATATCACTGAGTACATTCTCATACAGCAAGTAGACTTTGAAGCTCTTATATTTTCAATTGTCTGTATCAAATATACTATCCATCGGATGACTGAACAGCAACAGGTCTAGCCTTAAGAAATCCCATCTAGTGGTACAGTTCTGGTGTGGTTCTACAGGATAAGCACTGGACTGCTAACTGCAAGGTCATCAGGTCAAACCCACCAGCCGCTCCTAGGAAACCCTACACAGGGTTCACTACGACTCAGGAGGGACTTGATGGCACGCTATCCACCATCAGTGGTTAAGCGCTCAGCTGCTAACCAAAAGGCTGTTGGTCTGAACCCACCAGCTTCTCTGTGGGGAACAGAAGTGGCAGTCTGCTTCTGCAAACATTTCAGCCTTGGAATCCCAACAGGGCATCTCTCCTCTGTCCTACAGAGTCACCGTGAGTCAGAATCGACTTGTTGGCAAAGTTGTGTTGTTTGTTGTTTTTTAAATGTTGAAGTCAATAGAAAAACTAAGGAGAGAAACTATTTCTACTTCTTTTGACATATCCAAACTATAGTGAATAAATGGCAGATGTAGATGGAGTCCTGGTGTGGCGCTGTGGGTTAATGCGTTGGACTACAAAGTCGGTTTGAACTGCAAGGTCGCCGGTTCAAGCTCACCAGCTGCTCCTTGGAAACCCTATACAGGGTTGCTAAGAGTCAGAACTGCCTCAATGGCTCTTAACAACAATATTATTGTTATACTGCAATTTAGAACCCAAATCAAAAGCAGTTAGAAGCAAACATTTATCATACTTGTACGTTTAAAAGTTAAATGTAAATGAATTATCAATTTTACATATAGTGCGATTTTACATTAAAACCCTGCTGTTAAAAGCCATCAATGATACATGTAATGTTATGAAGACTTCCAAAACACTTAACACTTGCGAAAATGGCAAAAATGCTGAATTTATAAAAAACTGTTTTAGAATAGATTTTCTGAAAAAGTCTCAACTTTAAATTTCATTAACTGAAAGAGAGTCTGATTTGTATTGTTAAATTTAAAGACTTAAGAGTAAGATGCTCTTCTTAATACTATAATAGCTTTCAAGCTTTTATGGTGATAAAGCTGGAATGCAGCTCAAACCCCTCTGCTAATTCCCAAGAAGCCCAAATACTAACAATCTCTTTTAAAATCATTTGATCCACATGTTTAACCGATGCATATCTGACCACTTACCAGTTTACAATTTTGGAGATTACGAGAATGATCAAACATGGTTTGTAAAAATCTTAATGCACCGAGTTGTTGTTAAGTGCTATCAAGTTGGTTCTGACTCACAGCGAACCTGTATACGGTTTCCAAGGAGTGCCTGATGGGTTTGCACTGCCCACCTTGTAGTTAGCAGCCCAGTGCTTATCCTACAGCATCACAGATTCAACTACTTAAGCATTTATTGAGGACCACTGATTTACTTGTCCAAAGAAACAGGAGTGCAAAGATAAAGGAGCCAAGTTCCCTGTATAGGTGCGGAACCAGGAAGCATAACCTTATGTGAACAAAGGTTTGTTATGAAGCTTGTAACAAAATGCAGTAAAGTGATTCATATATAATACTGCACCTTAAGTGACTGGAATCAGGTCACTTTTACACAACAGAATCAATCTTTTCAGTCAGATGAGGGAATTGTATGGCGACTTCCTGAAGACAGCCAACTCTGCAACTGGCCTAGAAACACACAATCAAGCTAATCTTTGTCTCCATTATTCTCTACCTCTTATCTCTTTCTCCCCACGTCTTCAATGTTGGCACCACACAGGTAGTTACTGAGATCCTGTTTGCTTTAAGAGATCAGTTCTTAAGAGAGCAAAATTCTTAAAAGTTCTTAAAAGCAAAGGTAGTACTATCACTTGCTTCTGAGAATGAGTCTGTGTAAACCTAGTGTATGTATATTTCAGGAATATATGAGGGGGCTTCAAAAACTTAATGAGAAAATGGAATTAAAACAATGGAATTTTTCACAAACTTTTTGAAGTCTCCCTATTAAGTCAAAATAGACATGGATGGCACCTAACAACATGAGAATGAAATGCTTGGGACAGGTAGAAAGAAAAATGGACATATAAAACAAAACGAGACACCCCATTTCTTACAAAGAATCAAGTGTTCCTCTGATTAAGGAAAATGAAATACTTTCATCTTAAAAATAAATG